TTCCTGTATTTTTGCTTGTGCCCAGCAATGGGCATTTGTGGTACTTCATATAAATATCAAGTCTCCAAAAGTCATAGCCAAGGAAGGCTCAGCTTTGTGCCACAGAGGGGCAACGCAAGCCCTTTACACTTGAAACAGGTGTTATGAGAGGTTGCACTGATGTGGAATAGAATTTGGGAGGGCCGTACTTGAGATAGGGTCGCCGAGGTGTGCCAGGGTGCCCTGACTCTGTGCCCAAAACCCTCCTTCAGCTGTTGCCCACATAACTGAGCAGCAGTATCTCTGCTGCTGTAACCAGGAGCCACAGCAACCAAGAGTCACTTCGTGTTCCTCTCGCTGTGCTGGCCTTACAGCCAGCCTAACTTCGGCCTGACGGTGTATTGCGTCTTGCTAATTGAGACCAGGTTACACTGGCAAAGGAACCTGTTTACTGCTCCTGCTGGAGGCTTGAGCCAGAGGGGAACATCAGTGCAGCTGAGAGCCCTGCATCAGACACTGCTTCCTGGCGTGCCCACGAGTAGGTGCCGTAGTGGCTTTAGGCACGGATTTGGCAGAAGTATGGAGTCAGGCGTGGGGTACGTAATAGCTGCTGCTGTTGCCAGAAGCAGTAGGAGGGATGCAGGCCCGTGAGCTTCACTTGTGCTGACAAGCCAGTAGAGCTTATACCTGTGCAGAAGTAACTGCTGCTCCAGGCACCAGCCTGAGGCATATTTCCATGGCCCAGCCGGGCAGAGAATATGAAACATTCGTGTTCAAGAGTAAGCTCAAAAAGGAGGCAACATTACTTGTGGCATCAAAAGGGAACCCTTGCTCCTACACTGAATCTGAGTAACAGCTGTGCTTGTGCATATCTTTGGATTTACTTTTTGTTAGTGGTGTAGGAAAGGCTTTATCTTTTTTCAAACAGGGCTCAGCCAGCTATGGATGCTTGCTTGGTGTGTCTTTGGCCATGTTTGCTCCCCTCCTGCCCTCCTCCCTCTCACAGATTCAGTCTCTTATTCTGTCCTGTTTTCTTCTTGGCCAGTGTGTTTTGCTGCTTCTACACCTTCATTCTCTCTGTAGGTTAGGTCAGGTTCTTTGTGTTGCTTTGCCTCTCACTGGGGCGTTAGGAGAAATCTCTGCTAGGGGAGAGCTCACTACCCAGGGCTGGGTATTTCATACTTGAAAATATAGGTATGGAGGTACACCGTGTGGAATGGAAATCTAATTCTGCATTCCTGAGCTGTCGTGAATATGAGCTCCTGGCTATTGAATTTGTTTTGTGTAGCATAAAGATGAAAAAATGCACTGAAACTGGTGGAAATCACTCTTTGGACTTGAGCGAGTTATGTCCCTGACATATCAGCTTCACGCTGGAGTGATTTATACAAACTACTTAGGCGTAAAATTAGGCTTCTGCTATATGCAGAACTTCCTTTAACAAACCCAAAATATGAATCTTTCTTAAAATCTTACGCAGCAGAAGGTCAAAGGATCTTTCAAGGTGTTTGTTATCTCCGAGGTATGTTCTAATTAATGCATAGAATGTAAAAATAGTCTAAAATTATTTCATTTATTGCTGATTTTTCTCATGATTTTATGTGGTAGGAACATTACAATAGCATAAAGTTCAGTGAACTGATGAGTCTTGTCTCTGAAGCGCTTATTTTTGGCCTCACCCTGCTCCTTCTGAGGCTGCACAAAAGCTTATAGCAAGGGGGAACAGGGATATACAGGAATGGCTGGAGGCTGGCGGGTGGAGGGATGAAGAGTGCTATAACACAGCGCTGCTGCAGAGAGAAGTGTCTGTGAAGCTACAGATGTTTAGGCTTCTTGCTAGTGATTTCAGCAACCCATGTAATGACACAGCAGTCACTGAAGGATTGTTAGCAACTCTGTTTTGTGTTTAACTTTCCTTTTATACCCCTGCAGGAGCCAGTAGTGTGCTTGGGTATGCTCTAGGTCAGTCAACATCATCTTTCCATAAATGGATATTTCAACAGTATGGTGAAAATAAAACTCATTCAGGACTTTAACTTCCTCTTTTATATTTTGGCAGGTTTAAAACATGGCAGAAGATGGCAATGATGAGACTATGTTTATTTGTAAGTATTACAAGGCAGATGGTTTACCTCTGCATGAAGTGACTTGTCTACACAGAACATCTGACATGAGAGACTAAAAAAGACTTAGTTTTTATTTGGAAATGTATTTATGTAAAGGAAGGTCAAATGGGTTATGGAGGAGTAGAAAGAAGGTTGCTAATTTTAAGCATACATATTCTCCTGTTTTAGTTGGCAAGTGCATAGAGAGACTTCTGAATATGAATTAGTAGAACATCTTTTTCCTAGCTGAAATAAGTGAGGTTGAAGGCCTCAAGGTTGCCAGGGACTAGTCTAAGCCCTTGTTTATACTGCCAGTTTTGGCAACCAGGGATTGCTGTGGGGAGCTCTTGACATCTAGTGTAAGTTAAAGATCTGTGCCTCCGCAGCAGGGGACTGCGGCAAGCTGGTTATCCTTTCAGGACCAGCCCAGTAGGAGATGCACTGAGGGACCTGCCAAGTCTCACCCAGCATTCACTGTGCTTTCTTGTACCTCTGCAGCTAGGCCTGTGATTCATTTGCTTGCAGCTCAGCTTTGTGGTCTGTCTTATGCAGGGTAACCCTGCATGCCAGTCTGAGATCCGTGGTCTGGGATCCATGGACCGACAGGCTTATGGAGCATGAAGAGAGGCCACAGAGGTGTTATGTCCAGGGAGGCTGGTGGGCAGCGTCCCATACTTAATGTAGCCTGGCTAGTAGGCTTGTTCCCCAGTGGCATGCTTGCCTTGTAGCCCCTGCTTGTCACGTACCTGGGCACGCAGGAGCTTGTATTACAAGGACAAAAAGTTTAGAGATCTAGAGTCCACTAACCTGTTTGAGCATAAGGGCCCCAGATGTTGTGGATCCAGTCTGGGAAGAGCAGAGGGGAGCATTTGTCCTTGGTGGTTTGAATTCGCAGACTCTGAGCCTTGGTGGCGCCTCAGCTGTACATCAACTTCATCACAACTGTATGAGGAAGAAAGCTGCACCTTTCGTTCTACCACATATTTACTAGAGTTTCTTCAAAAGTTATGTCGATTCAATAGGCTTTTTTTTTTGTTTTTTAAGTTGTAGATACCAGTGGTGAAGTTACTTTATTTTCCCCTTCATAAAAAGACCCTGGTGGATATCAAAGCGGGTGCAGGTATCTTTTCCTAACTGCTTTGTGTCATGCAGCCCTTTTTTCCACCCCCCCTTTCCAGTGGAGGCTGCTATCAGAGAATTTCCGGAGCTTTTTGCGGCTCTTTGTAAGTTTGTCCCATGGAATATGGGGACTGCTTACATTCTGAAAAAGTGAGTTTTTATAAATGGTACTGTGAACTACCATCATTACCATTACTGAGTATGTATTTCATAGACATCAGAGAATTTTGGAATATTTCATATAAAAGTCTGTGAATATACTCCCCCCAGGGCAATTTACTGTTTAACCGTAGGCTTAGTTTCGTATTTCTCCTGCAGTCTTAGTCTCTTCTAAGTGTCACATACAGTGAGTATACCAGCCTTGGGGAATGTCTGCTGTTAGATATCCCTCAGTTGTTGAGAGACTGTTGAGTGTCAGTCTCATATTTTCCTGCTTTGATCATTTATCCACGGAAGGAGTTTGAGAAATGTGTAGTTTAGTTCTTGCACATAGTTTTGGACAGTGCCGCGTGCTCCGTGTCGAACCTGTGCAGTCGCTGTTGTGCGCAAGTAGGGGCTGCCTAGGTGGAATTGAAAGATAAGGGGAATTGTGAAGTCCTTTGTTTCCTTTGGCAGCAAAGCCAGTTTAAGAAGTTGTCGTTCTGGCTATTCCATGCTGTTCCTGCTGGTTATGGCAACTGTTTGTGAAAGACATTCCAGTTCATTTCAGCAGTCTGGTTTACACGTTCCTCTGAGGCTCTTCCAGCCTCTTTCTTTTTGGAAATTTGTATGTGGCCCAGATTTTTTCAGTAATACTATTTGCAGCGTGACCTACAGGTAGTTGAGTTTGGCACACCTAAAGTGGGGATGGTATGGTAAACTGCAGCACAGAAGAAGGTGAGGCAACTTGGCTGTCACCTTAGATTTGACACCGGTGCTACATAGATGGCACCTGCCCACTTGTCATTTCCTTTGATGCAGCTGTCTGTGGTACTTTAAAGCAAACTGGACTGGGGAATTGGTTCAGCTGAAAAATAACATTTTGGGGAAAATGATTATTTTGTTATTGAGTTCACCAGGAGGCACCATAAGTGTCTGGAGAGGAGGAAGTGGACAGGACTGGGGATTGCTTAAGCTGGTACTGCCATTTGTGAAATGTATGTGGATTTGCACTGCTATGATAAGTTTTGTTGCCAGAAAAAAAACAAATGGAGTTCTGTACTGTAGTTGGGGATTCCTTTTCTACATCTTAGAAGAAATCATTTTTGTTAGTTCCCCGAGCTAAGTAACTGGGAAGGAGAGGTTTGCAGTTAGGAATACAGAATATCCTTTCCAGAGCAGGGTATACTCTTGAATGAAATTGTCTTTTTTGTTGTTGTTGTCCTCCCAGAAAATGTCTAGCCACCCCACAGTTTGCATACCTGACTTGTCCTTATGAATGAGGAGCTCAGGTGTAAATCGACACTCTAAAAATACAACCTCTATGTGATGATCTCTTAAGCTGGGTAAGCAGCTGACCAGGCAGTGCAGTTTGACAGCTGTTTTTCACAGCAGAGCAGTGTGCGTTTGAATTCCTGCTAAACTGACTTATTTTAAAAGGTTTCAAATTATCTGAGTCTGGAAATTGTTTCTTAGGAGCCATTCAGTTCTGGGTAATTTACAGTCACTTAAACTAAAAGTTAATTTAGGAGAGCTGAAAATAAATTAGGGAGTAGCCAAAGTGTATTGCTTAGTCAGCTGACTTGTTTGGAAAGGCACCAAAAGTTATCTCCAAGCACTGCTAACTGGATGCCAGTCTCCCCCCGGGCCGTGTGTGAGAAGTGCGAGCAAGTCAGGTATGATTCCAGGCAGAGCTTAGCACCTGCTGTGCGTTCTTGCCCTGCTGAAGTCCATGGGGGTTTGGCTGCTGATACCAGGGGCCGGAATTTATATCTCTGTCGCTAAATAGACCACACTATCCAAGTTGTTTCTTAAGAGACTTGGACCTAGTGAAGGTAGTAATGTGGTTTTCTTTACCTGCTAGATGTTATGGCACTTTATCTAAAGAATAATCTCATCTTTAAGCAGAATATTTACTGTGGATGTAAGGCAAATATTTTCTTAGAGAAAAAATGTAAACAAGTGTCTTCTGATAGTACCCGTATTATCCATTACCTCATATACATAGGTGCCAGCTATTAAGTTGTCGTTCAGTCATGCATGTTCTTTTAAGCAATATAAATGAGCAGCTGTCTTTTTATCTAGTGTGCTTGGTGGTACGTTTTGTATTTAGCTCTTGAAAGAAAGAGGCAGCTGCTCTACAATTGTATTTTCCATGAACCTTCCTGCATGCTCTCTGCTTGGTTACAGGGTGTGAAGACTGTGGGCAGTACCATGATTCAGAGTGTCCTGAACTGGGCCCAGTGGTGACAGTAAAAGATTCCTTTGTATTGAGCAGGGCCAGGTAAGTAGCGCTCGTGTTAGTCCTTTAAAGTGTATTTACTGTTTGATGACCCAATCTACAAAAAGGACGCAGCCTTGTTTAAATAGAAAAGCTAAAGCGCACGCCTAAAGTGCTCTGCTGAATTGAAGCCAAAAAATGTCTTGCTGCTCGTTCAGGACTTGGCTTCTTTGCTCAGGTTTCTGGCAAAGGGTCAGATAGTGACAGATGGGGTGATGACTTCTGTTTTGGCTGAGTACCTGCAACTTGTTCTCCTTCTCAGATGTTCTGTACCAGTTTCAGGCAAGTATATGAGGATTTCCCAGTGATATGAATGGTTGTATCCTCCTGCTTGGTATAACCTCTGTAATTCCTCCCCTGAGAAGCCAAACAAGTTGTTCTTCTCATTTTTGTGAGTCTTTAAGAATGATTATAGATAATACTTTGGTCACACCAGAAACATTCATGCTTACCAAAGGAAACAGACTCCGTCTAGTTGAGAGAAAATAACGAGTAGTGATTTTACAGGGAAATGCAATCAGTCATTATCAGCAAAATTTATATTAAAGTGCAAAATGTTGGGCTTTTGCTAAGGAGAAGAGACAACTATCATGAAGAGGCAGTGCCACGCCAAAAAGGGAAGAGAGTTCGAATAGCTTCATGCTGCTGTATTATAAAATGTGTTTAGGCTTCCATATTTATTCGTGGAAAGTCATGGATAGAAAACATGGACAGCAAGTGCACATGTTCTGGCTATGTAGGTCATTCTGTGTATTCCTAGGATTATTGTATAACAAATGTTAAATGTGCTGGGCCTGCTGCGCATGTGCCATGACATCTCTCTTCATGGGCAGGATGCTCTCTGTGTCCCAAAGTGTACGTTTGCTATACATGTGCATAAGCAATAGCCATTTTTCTAGGCTTTCTGGAAGTCCAGCAGGTTGGCTGAAGCTCCTGCTAGAACAGCTTCTGCTATCTGAAAATCCTCAATAAATGAACTCCAGCAGCTAATGTTCAAGGGGACTACTCTCCTAATAGCCCTGACAGTAGATTTGCTTAATTCATAAGAGTAATTTTGAAATGGAGATGGATTTCTAAGATACAGTAACTAGGCAGTGCAGTAGATCTCCGATCTGTACTGAGTAGATGCAATGACAAGTTAAACTATTATTTCTTAGCTTTTATCTTTTTTTCTTTTGTTGCAATGTGTTTCAGTATGCCTGTTTATTCATACGGTGGAATACTAGAGGAACATCCAGATGTTCTGATGGAGAACATTTGTTAATCTGGTGCGTTAGCTCTGGTTTTCAGCCTTTTTTGACATGCAGATGCATAAATGTTTCCTAGTAGAAGTGTTGGCTCCTGAACAGTGGATTTCAAACCAGAGTTTAAAAATGATTCTGTTATAGAAAAATATATTTATTTTCCCAAAAGGTTTACAGTTGAAAACAGATAACAAAGGGGAAGAAGGAATGTCATTACAGTCTTTATTTTACATCTGGGCAACAGTAGCTGAGAGAGTGTGTTGCCTGAGGTGGAAGGGAAGTTTAAGCACCAATGGGATCTGAATCGCTTAAATACTAGTCTAGTCGCTTAACCACCTGGTCATTATTTTCCTCTGTCCTACTGAAAAGATAAAATGGATACTCCCTGGTTAGAAAAAGAGGTGTTAAGAAACTTGCCTCCTGAATTGCACCGTTGCTAACTTTGTATATTCTGTTACTAAAATGGAAAGCATTTTTTTTCGATTCATTTGCTTATCACTAAGGTTGTAATCTTTTTATATTTTTCTCCGTCTAGACATGAAAGTAGATCAGCCACTTTCAACTTTTGTGGAGCAGTCAGTAGCCTGTCTGATTATTTTTAGGTTTTTATCCATTAGCACAGAGCTGAAAAGCCAAGGTTGCAGTTGGTATCTGTAGAACCAATATGCTGGTTCCAGTCACATGCTTTTTCTGGAAGGTGTTCTCTCTGTATTTGATGTAGAAAAAATACTTACATACAGTTCTTCGCAGAAGCTGGTCTGGTCAGAGAGAGAGGCACTGAAGACAGAAGCGCTTGTGATCTGTGTCTGGATGTAATAAGGGAACTAGAAAACAGAAGAGAAACTTACAGGACTTTCATCTTAAGAGCTGTGATCGCCTTAAGAATGTCAGGTGTTTGACTTTGGAGAAGAATGTAGATTATTTTAAAAATAAGCTTTGCCAAAGCAAAAACCTTTAGAGATCATAAGATAATTCAGATAGAAGGAGACCTCAGGAGGTTCCAGTCAGAACTAACATCCATTCTGAACCTCTCTTGTTTCAGTTCATGCCCCTTGTCTCTCATCCCCCCCACCAGGCATCCCTGGGAGCAGTCTGGCTCCTTTGTCTCAGTGACCTCCTTGAGGACGCTTGAGGTTGGGCTGTTAGGTCCCCCTGCAGCCATGCCTTTCCCTGGCCAAGCAAGCCGCACTCTCCCAGCCTCTCCTCTTGGGTGAATGCTCCAGCCCCTGACTATCCTAGTGGCCCTCCCTTGAATGAGGTCTAACAGGTCCCAAGTAGACGGAGACAGTCACTTCACTCACTCTCGTGGCTGTGCCTCTGTTCATACAGCCCAAGATGCAGCTGCTCGTTGCTGCCAGGACACGCGGCAGGCTCACAGCAGCTTGCTGTCCACCACGACCCCCAGGGCCTTTCCTGCAGAGCTGCTCCCCAGCCAGGCCATGCCCAGCCTGCACCATGGCCAGGGCTCCCTCCTTCCCGGGACAGGGTTTTGCATTTGTCCTAGGTGAATTTCATAAGGTTCCTGCTGGCCCATCCTTCCAGCCTATCCAAGAGCCTGTGGATGACAGCCTTACCCTCAGACATGCCAACTGTTCCTCTCAGTTTGGTATGATCCGCACACTGGTGAGAGTGTGCTCCACTGCCTCTCCTGAGTCACTGATAAAGATATTAAACAGGACAGGTCCTAGCACAGACCCCTGAAGTACCCTAGTTTGTTACTGGCCTCCAGGTAGAGTATGAATCATTGGTCATGACCCTCTGAGCCCAGCTATCCAACAAGTTATTTACCCAAGTAGTTGTGCACCCATCCAGACCATAACACCCCAACTTGAGTACAAGAGACAGGGTTGAAAGCCTTGCTAAAGTCGAGATAAATGACATCCATTGCTTCCACAAATCTAGTCGTTTTATCCTGGAAGGCAACTGGTTTGTCAGGCCTGATTTACCCTTGGTCAATCCATGCTGACTGTTTCCAATGACCTTGGTCTCCTCCTTGTGCTTATGAATGGCTCCAGAAGGGATTTACTCCATGATTTTCCCAGGGAGTGAAGTGAGGCTGGCTGGCTTGTAATTCCTTGAATCATCGTTTTGGCCTTTTTTTGAAGATAGCTGCAATATTTGCCTTTTTCGAGTCATCGTGGACCTCCCCTGATCTGCCTAATCTTTCAAAGATGATAGACAGTGGCCTCACTGTTGTATCAGTCAGCTCCCTTGGGTGCAGCTTGTCAGCTCCCCTGGACTTGTATGGGTTGAGCTTTCAAGTAATTCCTGGCTCAACCCTGCACTGCTAGTAGCTCTCTGTTTGTTTATAAAACCTGGTAGAAATCAGAGTTTTCTGTCACTGGAGATTGAAGAAATAGGTGCTGACTCCTTTCCTCATGGTTCTTGCAGTTTTGTCATGCGTGACTGATCTGCATAGCATCTGTTTTTTCACAGTTTTCTCTTCAATTCCTAGATCATCTCTGCCGTCCAATTTGGAGATAAGACAATTGGCAGATGGGTCTGAAGGAGTATTTGCCCTGACTCAGCTAGTGAAACGTACCCAGTTTGGCCCATTTGAATCCAAGAGAGTTGCCAAACTGGAGAAAGAATCAGTTTTTCCGCTGAAGGTAAGACACAGCACATGAAAAGCAGTAACGTGGAGTCTGTTTTACCTGTGATGATTTTATGCTATCTACAACTATGAAAAAGTGAGGGGGAGAGAAATATTTGGGACATCTTTTAAGTGTACCTGCTGACAGACCACCTGCGCAAGCCTTCCTTGGACAAGATGTAGAAGAAATGAACTAGGGGCATGTTCTGCATCTTTGAAGTGAACACTCTTGTAGGAGACAGGGCTAGGATGCAGTCACCAAAACTGCTTGTCTTTCACCCTCTGCACATGATGATACACAAAGGGTCATGACTATAGCAGTTCATTGCAGTGTTTTAATGAGGTTCTTCAGCTTGGTCCTGTTTTCTTAATGAGCTGCATGTGCATTACGTTTATGGAACACAGATAATAATTTTTTTCTGTCTTGCATTTGTGTTACTCTTCTCCTGACAGCCTGTATGGAACAAACACAATAGTAAAAATTTAGTTCAGTCTTCCCTTTTCGGTAATACCTGACCCAATAATAAATGTTTAAATAATGCAATGCAAGGGCTGATGGGTATTTCACAGTGTGCTGTTTGGATTTCCCCCCATTCCCCTTAATCCAGTCATTCAAATTCTGATGAGAAACTGGTGGCTATAGCAAGACTTCCTAGGACAGAAGTTCAGTCTGTTCCCATTCTGCCACTAGCAGTCTGTCTCGGCCTCTTTCGTCTGAGGATGTGACTGATACTTTCCTGATGCAAGTGTTGAGGCTTGCTTTGCTTTTGATGCACATGCGATGAAAGACATGCAAAAGCAGAAAATAAAAATTATTTTTAGCTATGCGCTATTTGTTCTGGTTTTATTACTGCATATTTTGCTTTTTTGCCTATCTGACAGGTGTTCCAGAAGGATGGGCCCCTTGTATATTTTGATACCTCAAACGAAGATGATTGCAACTGGATGATGATGGTGCGACCAGCCACCGAATATGAACACCAAAACTTAACTGCCTTCCAGCATGACAATGATATTTACTTCACCACCTCCCGGGACATTCCGCCAGGAACTGAGCTGCGAGTGTGGTATGCAGCTTTTTACGCCAAAAAAATGGAAAAGCCAGTGCTGAAGCAGGTCACTAGTGTTGCCAATGGTATGTGTGGGGGCCTTTTTTCCTTCCTAAGGGCCCAGGGTCTGATATTCCCCTGCTGTGGCAGTTGACAATGCTTTTTTATAGGCTCTGACCCTGAATTTGTTAGCCTTTAGAGTCAGGATAACCAACATACATGGCTGTCCTACCAGAAGCAAGCATAGATTCTTCACCATGATGTATCTGAGTTTTTAGAAAGAGATGGATAAACCTAGCTGGTGATTCAGCCTCTTCAGACTGAACAAACTGGATATATAGTTCTTAACTAAGGAACTGGTAATTGCATCGAAACACATCTGGGTAGAAGAGCTTTCATCTTCTTTGCAAAGGAACTCAAATGTCAGAGTAAGTCTAAACGTATGTGCAGCTCTGCTAAAGAAGCCATTCTCTTTCAGTTGTAGTGGAGCCTTACACAGGACCCACTAGAACAAGACAAACTCAAAACGAAGCTATCATTCCACAGGCTAGCTTGTGCTTTGGCAAGGAGAGATAGCAGATTTATTAGAATCTGCATTAGAATTACCAGAGGTCTTTTATTCCTCTGCCCCTCAATTTTCTTCTGCTATTACATTTGTACAGCTCAAAGGCAAACTCCTTAAGGGCAAGGGCATTTTTTTTCTGCTGTTGAGTTGGGAGTATTCCCATATGGTGTTATTGCTATGTTGAATATAATTTGGGGGTGACAAATGGCTTGGGGGGAGGCCATTGCCATCAGCATGCTTTGTTTCTGTTCTTATTGGTAAGCACGGTCTTAAGTGCTACAGCTGAATCAATGCTGTTAACATGTTTCTGAATTCCAAGATTTTTCTGTTTGGTATTATTTAAGAGGTTTTCTCTTCTTCCTCTTTTGTTTAACCCATTCGTGTGTTTTCGTGTATATATAAATATTTACAGAAATTGTTCGGATGCGTCCTTCATGCTCTGTTCAGCATTTTCTGTATTTTCTGCACAATGTGAACAGCACATTTTATGAGAATCAGGCATAAGAATATCCTGGTTAGAATTTTATGTAAAATTCTTTTTTGTAGGCCTGCTGTAGGGCAAAGCTTTCTAGCTCTGATTATTGCCCCTTAGCACAGCACAAGAGAACCAAAGTGCCTGGAAAGTAATGAAAAGGAACTGTTTTTTCTCTCCACAGATACGTGCTTGGTAGTGATGGAATATGATAAAGAAGGGAATAAAATCTCTTCAAAGCCTTCATCTGCCATCTTCCCTCATAAAAAAGCGAAGAAATCCAGCATACCAGTAGCTGATACAGCAGGTCTGCAAAATTGTGGTATTTTTAAGGGAGCTAGAGGACAGATTCAGATCTAAAGAGCTGCTAGATTTACCACATGTATGCATATATTATGGTTATATAGCATTCGGTAAATGTGAATTTAGTGACGATTTGAAAGTCTGGATTTTCTTTTTTTTTGTTTTCATGGGTCCGTGCTTAAAATACTTCTGCAGATTAAAAAGTGAGAGAGAGTCCTAAAACTTTTTAGTCACTATTTTTCATTAATTCCGTAACTGATTCTGACTTTGGAGGTGGTTGGGGCCACTGTCGCAGCTGGAGGTGAGCAGGTGTTCCAAAGAAAATCGGTCAACTTTTTGTGCAAGATGCAATAGTTCGAATGATCGGGTGCTAGAAGAAAACAAAAGAATGTGAGGATAGGAGCAGTGCTGTTTGAAAATGACAGCAGTGGCTATCCCCAAATTACAATGTGGTAAGAAGTCTGGTAGAGTTCAGACTGTGCTTGATCACGGGAACTCAAATTTAGATAAACTTGTAAGCAAAGCAAATACTATTGGCAAAGAGTAATGTCTCAGGAGGTCCCTAGCTGTGTCACAGAAGCTCACTCCCCAAGGTTGATCATGAAACAAGAAAACCTCCTATAATCTCTGATAAGTGGAACAATGAAGTTAAGAACTCATTTAACACAAATTGCCACATCTGAAAGTAAAATTGGAAAACACAGTGCAGGAATCTGGATCAACAGAAAGCAGTCTATGTCTGTTCTTTGAAAAAGTTGTTTTGCTAAATTTTGCTTATTAGTATTAAAAATAGCCAGGAGAGGAGGGGAAGAGTGGTTGGAGATGTGTACAGAACACTTCGTCAGAAGAGGCCTCTTTGTTTAACTCTGTGTACTGTTACAGCTAAAACGTGGAAACTGGCTGGGGAGCTGTCTTTCATTTTGGCATAACTAATTTTTCCAGAAAAAAAATATGAAGAACTTGAACAGCCCCTCCTACCTCCTTCATCCTGCCATTGGAAAGCCCAGGTTCAGTAGAAACAAAATGCTGCATACTGTACTTTGGGAACCATAAAGTATCCCCACTGTTGCAATGTTTTGGTGTTTCCAAAACAAAATATGCCTTTTTTTAATTCTGCCTGCTTGCCTACAAAGCTGTTGTGGACTCACAGAGCCATGTTTCCAAGTGTGTTGCCCAGCAGCCTACCTGGAGGCCTAAAGACATTACTATCTTCCTGGCAAACCAGTGCACAACTAGGGTCTTTGGGTTTCCTGCTTGAGCTATATAAGGAGCAAGGGAAGTGCAGAACCAGTGACACTTTCCCAAGACAGACTTGAGTTTTGCAAGTAGTGTTTTTTCAATTTTATTAGCATGCAGCTTCACAGGACAGGGCTAATAGCTTACATGATGCTTACTAACATGATTTTTTTTTTTTTTAGTTATGCAAAATACTGGGGTTTAGTTTGGCTAGTTTTGGCTTCATGGACAAACCTTTCAAGACAGGAGATTTCTTTCCACAGCCTTTGAAGGAGGAATTTCTGTTGTTGAATTACCTAGACGTTTTTTATTTATTTATTACAGCATGAATAAGATCAGACCTCTGTAGTGCACCGCACTGAACACACTTGTAGCAAGGAATAATCTCTGCCCCAGAAAATCTCCTATTTCAGTTTAAGAGCCAAGAGTGAGAGGGACGAAGTTATGTTTATCATTGCTCTACAGATGGTGATCTGAGGCAGAGCAAGATTAACTGACTTGCGCACTGTCATACAGGAGATCTGTGGCAGAAACTAAGTACAGTTTGAATCTCCTGTGCTGCTATTCACTTAACCTAATTGCAGCGTCGCCCTCCTTCTCTGGGGGATTCCTGTAGACTGCGGAATAGTTAGTTTTGTGTGTACCAAAAGATCTGTGAACCAGTCCACATTTGTCAGATCCTCTTGATAATTCAGGCAGATTATCCCAGGACTCAGAGGACAATAGACTGTGAAGAGAGTAACCATTTTCCTGATTTTTTTTTTTTAATTCCATATCCATTTCCCCCCTTACATAAAGAAGAGCATGTTCTACTTGTTTATTTAGAATAGCATTTAATTTTTTCTTTATTTTCTTTGTGTATGCGAGTGGATATGTTAATTACAACATTAATATGGTAGTTTGTAGAATATCCAGTTAATGCTCAAAACCAGGTTTTCATTGTCATCACCGTGACTTCTGTTAATCTAAACATTCTTGTATCTGTGATGCTCTTCAGAGGGAGCAAGGAGACTTTCTTCTGTCTTCAGTTGGCCTAGAAGAGTACTGGTAACTCCAGTTTTAAAGGTGCTCAAGATTAGTCCCAGCAGAGGTGCTTTATAGTGTGTGTTTGATCATCACACTTCTTTAGAAAGTGATACAGAAGTTTACAAAAGTTTACAAGAGCTCCAGTATTCTCTCCTGGCACCGGCTGGTTTCTGTTCTGACTTCTCATCTATTCTGACTTTCAAGATGTTCATGTGGTCACAGAGAATAAATCATACTTCCGAATGTATAACAGTTTCTTGAAAATCATATACGTTCAGCTATGTGACCAGTCGATTTGTTTGATACACTGATGAAGTGTAGCTGGAAAGTTGAGAATTAAGCGGCTGCCTCAGTGGGCCTATTGCTTCTGAAATGATGCCTTGTGATATGCAGGGAGTCCTTGCAAGATAAACAAGGTAACAGAGATTTTCCAAGCTTTTGAGTCTTTCTTCTTGTCATGATTTAGTGAACACTCCAGAAGGTGGTGGAGCTGCAGAAGCAGAGTCCAGCCAGTGGACGTGTAAAGTGTGTTCATCTGCTTTCCAGGAGCCTCAGCTGCTGACAGGTGAGAAGTGTTAGAAATTCATAAGAGACTACTGAGAGACATTAGGAAAATTGTGCTCTTCCAGAGCAAGAGGTTATGAAGCCATTTCTCTGTCCGTGATGCAGTAAGGTAAAGGTTTTATGTATTTTGGTTACATATTCTTTAAAAACAAAGGGTGGGGGTTGGAAAGTGGAACAGTGACGTTACTGATATTGGCAGCTGGCAACTCTCTAGACAAACAATTGTGGCGCTGAATCGAGAAGAAGTGAAATTATTGTCTGGGAGGTACCATGTGGATGCTAAGAACATGAAGGATAGTGGACTCACTGAACTGTGTATAAGATCAATGGTGCCAGCTTATGCTTAGTGATATATTCTGTCTGGTATTTACAGGTCAGATTAAGTAATGGTAGTAAAACATGTTATTTTCCTATTTTTCATTTGCAGCTACTTTATCTATTTTTCAGAAGAACTTGAGCTCTGAAGATCATTCTGTGAATCATTTTTGAAAAAAAGACTCAGGCTGCAAAATCACTTGGGCATTTGGAAAAAAATGTACCCATTATCAGTGGGGCACAGCCTTTTTCCAGTGATATCTAACAAACCTCTTCAAAATTTCAGTCTATGTCAGTAATTATTTGGAGAGTATGCTGAGAGTTAAATAGAGAGTATTTGGACTGCTTTTGAAATAATTTGAACTACCTGTTAAAGGAGGCTAACCTGATAGGCAGGCTTTGGTTTGATTTATCTCTTTGAGCATTTCATGATAGTTTGTTCCCTCTTTGCTCTTGGTCTTTACTATTCATCCAGAGCACTTGCTGAGTCACCTGGAACAAGCCAAAGGTGCCCCCCAAACAAGCCAAAATGAGGTTGCTCCAGAGAAAGCAACAGAGGCTCCCCCTGTGGATCAGCCTGCGATTTGTGATAAAGCTAGTAGTGCCAGTGCAGACTCAAGAAGGAAGGCCAGACGGGGAAGAAAGCCAAAAACAGCAAAAGCAGAAACACCCCTTGTCATTGTTGAAGAGAAAGATCCTGCAGGTAAAACAAAGAAATAGTGACCACATATGCCCTCCTATGCCTTTTCAGAAAGGCCTAAAAAGTAACACACAGTCAGGGTGGAGGTTTTTAGTTTGTATGTGGATCACTAGAGCAGATGATTTACAAATTTATGTAATTATCTCTGAGTTCTGTGTCTATGCTAAATGTTGCAGCATCTACACTTAGGTTACCTGCATTCTCCTGCAAGGGTTTCAGCAATAGAGAAGCCCAGAGAAATACAGGATAATAGTTACAAGAGAAGACCTGCCCTGGTTCTGCAAGCAGAAACAGGAAAGGAAGCACCCTCCCAACATGGTTATCTTCTTCTCTCTACCTTCAGGTTCCTTCCTAGAAGGGGCATTTTGCAGGGACTTTTCTTCCTACAAGGGAATTTCTAGTAGGGAATTGCGTGATGCATATTCAGCTGCCCTGTTAGTAATAGCTTGGGGAACTGCTATATGAGGAAAGCACTGGCTGTAAGAAACTGTGTCTATTGGCTACATTACTTGCGATTCAGTAGCCTCTTTCACTATGTTGCAAGTCCTGTGAAGTCATTAGCCATCTGCTTTTTGTCATGGACACCAGTTCAGTGCCACATCCCATTACAAATTTGAAAGCAAAATTCTGCATTTAAGTTTTCTATCTAACTATCCACATTAACACCATATTTTTATGATGTGTTTGCAGTGGAACGTGTAGCTGAAATTGTAACTGAAGTCCCACCTGATGAGGTAGCTCTGCCTTCAGCTGCGGAGGAGAGAATTATGGAATTGGTTTTAGGAAAGATGCCTAGCAGCACAAATAACATCAGTTCAGTGACAAAGTAAGTGTTCTGGGATGCGCAATTTGCTCTCAATTAAGATTATGTAGCATATAACAGCTCTGCTCAAATTCTGGGCCCACAGAGCTCTTTTCTGTTAGTGCAAAATTGTGCGCTTCTGCTAGAAGAGCTGATTCTCAATGCCACGAAGATGGCTCATGCGTTGTAAGGTAAGTGCGTAGTTGGTGTGATATTGGTGGTATGACTTTTGGAGCACGGACCATGCGAATTTTTTTTCCATCATGTTACTGGTTTTACTTAATGTGAAAGCCTCTTGCAGCTGCATGGTGAAACGTTACTCCTGTTGAGCGTTGGTGATAAAACAGACAAAGATATTTTTGCTAAAAAATGTATGTTAGGCATTATCATTCAATCTTACTTGTGTCTTAACTCATAAATGACTTTGAATTGATTTGTATATGTGATACTTCAGAGTTAGAGCTGTGAAGGGGAAAATTGCAGTATAACAGAATGTCAGGGAGAGTGACATCTGTTTTGTCTCAGTAAGATTGGCTTTTTGAATGATTTTTTGTATAATGGTGTGTTTGATGTTTCAAGATTAGCTAGTAATGCTATAAATTGAAGTTCTTAGCAGGTAGAAAGCCATCAAAAATTGCTGGAAAATAGAACAGTACTGCTTGTTGGTGCTTTGCTGCCTTCCTACCATATATGCTTTTTGCATGAATACTTGCCAGGTTTTCTAAGCTGAAATAGTGCTAATGTTTTCAGAGGATAAGCAGAACAGTTCTTTTGTTCCTGTGAAACACCTGAAGTGAGAATCTTTGAGGCTGGTGGCTGCTGTTTCTTTTTTTTTCTTTTTGGCCTGGGTGAAGATGCTTAGGAGTGAACTGCTTTCCAACATCTGCTGCTTCCAGTGGGTGGCCAGGAAGTCACCTTGGAAACGACGAAGCTCCTGTGCTCCACCTCCCACCAGAAGCTGAGCATAACACTTCTAGCTTTTGCCAGCTGATGGGTCTTTCTTACAACCTGTGGGATACCTTTCAGTCCCTGCCTTTCTTTCTCTAATCCAGTAGGTTTGCTCATCACCAAAACACCATGTCCCTCAAAAGAAGTTTAATTCTCTCCAGTAGACACGGTATACGGCGGAAGCTGATAAAACAACTTGGGGAGCACAAACGCGTCTATCAGTGCAGTATCTGCAGTAAGATCTTCCAGAACAGCAGCAACCTCAGCAGGCACATCCGTTCTCATGGTGGGTTTGCTTTTCACTCCCTTGCACGTAGTTTTTCTCTCTTGTGGGTTTCACCTTTGAGTAAAAGAGCTAGGCTATTCTTAGATACTGGTATGCATAATTTTAACAAAGCTCTTTTTTTCCTCTCACTGGGGAATTCTTTTAGTTATGCAGACCAGAGCATGTGAAGATAATAGTTGGAAGTTGAAATTAGAACATTTACAATTTGAATTTAGGTGCGTATTTTTAAGGAGGGACAAGGGTGTGGGGGCTTCTCCATAACAACTGGTCCTTAAATCAAAATTATTCTCTCCCTTTACATGTATATGGTCCCTCATCTTCACAGGCTTATGGGAAACATTGCTGTGTAAATGCCAGCTGAGTGATTTTTAGCCTGTGATCTGCCGTTCCACGGGTCCATAATCTGTTTCTAAGGATTCTGTGAAAAATAATATTAAAAAAGAAGGGTAGAGGAGCCAAAAAAGTAGTCATCAGTAGAAAAACTGCAATAGAATGGAAAAGGTCAAAAACTAATATCTGGATCTCCTGAATAAGTAAAGCTTCCCATCTCTAGTCTGTTCATTTACAATTGCTTTTGCTTTGATTTCCCCTGATTGCCTGGAGTTGGTTATTATCAGTCTATCAGTCTCTGACTTCCTTCTTTTTTTTTTTTTTTTTTTTTTATCTTCATTGATCCCCTCAGGTGACAAACTATTTAAATGTGAGGAATGCGCAAAGCTGTTCAGCCGTAAAGAGAGCTTGAAGCAGCATGTTTCATACAAGCACAGCAGAAATGAAGTGAGTGGCAATGACTAGTGGGCTCTTTCTGAGGATAGGTGAAAATGTGCAGTGAGCTCCCAGGTGCTAGCTGGGGAGTTTGGGTCAATTATATTTGAGTGGATATCTGTGTGAATTTCTTGTAAGAGACAAGAAAGAGACAAGACTGATGGGGAGAGGTAGCATCTTTTGTTAGACAAGCTTATGAATTTGGAAAATGTTTACACGCTTTTGGGCATACGAGTCCCGAGTCCTTCTTCGTGTCTGAATTTCCTGTAGAAAGTTTTCAGGCATCAGTTATAGCAACACAAGATGGAGTTAGCTGGACCTGCAGGATCTAGAGGTGAGATCTGACTTCAGTTTATTGTACTAAGTAGGATTGTTCCAGTCTTGTTTGCCAGTCCTGTTCCATTTATCCCGGTCTGTGGCATCATTTAGTGTGTGAACTGTCTGAGTAAAGGTTGTCTCAAGAGCTGTGCGCACGTGTGTAAACATAGTGCTTATAGTAGCAGTGTCCTGTCTGTTGGTGAGGGTCTTTCAATGCTGATGCCAAATAAATAATAAACATAACTATGGTGGAGCCTTATCAGTGAATATTTCCATTATTGCAACTGCTAGCACCTGTTTTGGAGCTGAAGGATGAGTTAGATTATATCTTGTTTTTCCTAAGTTCTGCGTCTCCGTGTTGGGCCAGGGGTTACAAGTAAGACCAGTACACACTCATAGGTGCATGGCCCACTCTTGTGTTTGCATAAAGCTCAGATTATATGATAATACAGCATCAGAAGTTTGCACCCATGTATATTTAAATATCCTGTTAAAGGAAAACGAATTAGAAAATTCAGAAAAACAGAAAAAATAATTCAGATTCAGCCTTGCTCTGTCAGACATGATTTGGCTTTTGTCCCCTTAAACACTTACTGGTTGTGATCCTCAGGTTGACAGTGAGTACAGATACAAGTGCACCACGTGTGAAAAGGCCTTTCGGATAGAGAGTGCATTGGAATTCCATAACTGCAGGACAGGTGAGAAGGTGATATTCAGCTTCTTGTCATGCTAACTCAATTTTATGGGTATATCCACAAATTCATCTCAGAATAGTAACTAGGAAAGAGGGAGTAGTTACTTAGATTTTTTTTCATCATCACAACAAACGTCCTGCCCCTCTTCTTTCCCCCTTTCCTCAAAAAGTGTCTTGTTATGTTAAGAAACATGTAGCCAGTAATCTGTAGATCAACAATTCTACTTAGGTATTGCATTTTTGGTACTTCCTGCTCACTTGCCTAATACTCTCACTGGTACTTCAGTTGTATGTTCACAGACACCCCACCACCATCTCTGTTTAACTTTCTTTCCTGAAACTGGGTGTCACCTCTTTTCTCTGAGACAGAGGAGTTGGAGAAGGGCTGGTACTATCAGTAGTTGGTACTTCCTGGACTCACAGTTCTCTTCTGCTTTCTCATACTTTCCTTATGCACTAGTCTTTCTAGATATTTCTTGATACCACTAGAATCTATCTCTTTTTCCCATAGCTATCCGTTGCGATAAGTCACATTAGTTATTCTGAGTTGTCTTAGGCTTACAAAATGACATTCTGGTTATTTTTGTGGACCTCTGATAACTATCAGAATCGCCTGGGTAATTGCCCCTTCCAACACTCTCCAAAGTAGATTTTTCCATTTCCTTTCAAAGGCTACAGTTTCTATAAAAGCTCTGCCTTACAAAGGACGGAAAGTAATGCCAAGTGACCTCAGTATTCTCTCTTCATTCAAAGACAGCGACTTATTTTCTCTCTCTAAGCTGACCGTTACCAAAATGAGCAGCATTTTTTGCTCTCCTCTTTAACAAATCAAACTACCAGTTCTTTTTGATTGCTATAGCATTGACAGGTTTCATCTACAGGAGCATGCTTTCATGTTCTAAGGAAAGTCTCAAATACTGAATACAAAATAAATTCCCTGTAGGCCTATTATCGTGTGATGATCCACATCCACAAATTTTATACTTTCTTCTGGAGCATTTTGTACGGGCTGAGACCCGGTGCTGGAAGAAGTATGTTGTTGTTTAGATATAACTATTCAAGTGATGCTGGGTTGCCATGTGCTCGGTGATTCTACGAACATTAAAAACTTGGATCAACGGTAACAGAATTCACTGCAAACAGAGTTTTAATGTATACTAGACCACAATGAAATGGCCCATGTGACAGTGATGCTAAAGTCAGTGTTCAGGTTAGCATCATACATATTCATTGCTTTTGAACAAATGTCCTCAAGTGCATTTCAGTGATAATTAACCTCATAGGTTGCAAAAATAAAAACTCAGTAGATTGTTTGATGTTTATTATCTTCTTAAAGGGAAGATAAATTTAAAGTAAAAGAAAAAGGTATATTTTTGCATTTCCCCCCTCAACTTGAGTATAATGGCTTATATGTGAAAACTCAGGCCTAACAAAAGAACTATTTACTGCACAAATGTACACCAACTGTTTTCCTCCATGAAGAGTTGCATTGTTTCTCTTGCTTGCAGATGACAAGACATTCCAGTGTGAGATGTGTTTCAGATTCTTTTCTACAAACAGTAATCTCTCAAAACACAAGAAAAAGCATGGAGATAAGAAGTTTGCATGTGAAATCTGCAATAAGATGTTCTACCGGAAGGATGTCATGCTGGACCATCAACGACGACACTTGGAAGGTAAGTATACTGCAGATGAACCTAATTATTACCCTTGAAATGGCAGTTGAGGTAAAAAGGTTAAGGAAATGATTGTACATTCCATTCTTCCGAGTGGTGGCTATCACTTCTTAGTCAGCTGATCTAGGATAGCAGGTTTCAGCAAAATGTAACATTTTTTAAAAATAATAGTAAGGGATCTTGGAGAGGAGTTGTCTAATTCTGTGAAACCTTTGTAGGAGGGGCATCTCTTTTCCAGCCTCACATGATTGGATCTAATGCTGCTAATGGTCAAGTGAAAGTTGCTTGGCTTAAGCTTAGACTAGCTGATTTTAATGATCTCTTCTTCTTTCTTTGAATTCTGTTAATTTAAAAAAAAAGTCTGGGGTAACTTGAAAATTTGAGAGCAGGGAGTTACTTGCAATGTAAGACTGAAAATGAGCGCTAAGTAAGTATAAATGTGGTTTTGAAAACTACTGGCTGATCAGTATAGTATAAGCGGAGTGCTATGTGATATATTGTCTTTTGAAATCTTGAATATATGATAGTGAGATTGAAAGAATTGACTGTTTAAAATCACAAACATCTAAGGATGTTAGAGGTACTCAGAGACTCTGGAAAAACTTGAGTGATTATAGACTGTGTAAGTATGTATTAAAATGGCACTGCTGGTCTAGATGATAGGACCAAAGGTGATTAAAATAATCAGCCTATCTAATTGGCTGTCTTGGACATACCATCACTGGCCTCCCCTGTGATTCAGCTCTCTGTGTCATGAACTAGGGAACAAGGGGTGGAGTGACAATAGCAAGAAGTCTCCTATTTAGCTATCACAGAACAGTAACAGCCCTCTTTCTCTTTGAAAGCGACAGAGAAAGAGGTCTGATGTCCTCCTTGAGAATCAAAGGTGATGCTGGATAGTCTTCTCCTTGGAGACTGAGGGAAGGAATTCCTAGGCCAGATATCTGAACTGAAGTGCCGAGGCCTACTAGGTCTGCCTTTTTGCTGTTGTTAACAATAAATACCTGTTTTCAAACCTTTACGGTTGGTATAATAACCAGTAGGATACAATATATCAGTTTGGAAGACTGCTCTCATATTCTTGAGTCACCCTTTTAACCAAGAGGTGATCCTTTATTAACTTCTTCATTGAGGCTCCTCCCAGTGTTTCACTCTTCTTTACAATATTCACCTGAAAGAGCATGCGGATTGGAGTGGAAAGCCATGGTTTATTTTTTTTGTTTTGCTTTTTTGATGGGGACTGTTCTATTAAGGGGTGAGGCGTGTGAAAAGAGAAGACTTTGAGCACAGCACGGAAAACATGGTTCGCTACAAGAAGGAGCCTTCAGGATGCCCTGTGTGTGGGAAGGTAGGCTTTTCTGCCAGCGTGTGCCGTGTGAAGCTCTGCGTTCTAGCTTCAAGAATACTCCAAGGATATTGTGCACCTGAACCTAGAGTCTCCAGCTGAGTTATTGTGGCATAACAAGTTACCACCCACGTACTAAACCACAATAACAGTCTACCTGAATAGACATGCAGCTTGCCAAAAGATTGAGGTGAATGATTTTCACTGAGGTTATATATCAGATCAGATTACCTTGCAACTCAAACAGGCATGTGGTCAGTTACCAACAAGTCCTGTGGCCTACCTAATGTGTGACTCTTTAAACTGCTTTAGCTCCATTATATGTCCAAGCCCATGGTAGCTAAGGATGGTTCAGACTAGATTTTTTTTCAGGACAAATAACGCAATATAGAGTATAACATGGCCGCTATCTCTGTCAGACTCTCTCTCGACTTACCTTATTTTGAGTTAAGTTTTTATGCCTGAATGTAAAAAGGTGGAATTAATTGTGTGCATTAGGAATCATTTTTTCTTAGAATTTAAAGTAAAGTCATTGTGTAGTCATCACACTATTACATTTGGGTGTTTAATACTCACGAGCTGAAGTTGGTATTGTCACAGATAACGAAGACTGGGGAATTTAACTAGTGGTTTTATAAACACTTCATGATTCATAGTGCAAGGTGTACTCAAGCAGTTCTTAAGCTGGGGTTGTGTGGGCCTTTGTTTTTGATGCTTTGGATGTGTTACATATCAGTGAACACACAGCATTCTTGATTCAAAAGACTCTTGTCTAAATATTTCTAAATGTATCTTATGTAGTTCTGCTCTAGCTTTGTTGTAAGCCTACCTTTGATCACAGGCCAATTCCAGTCAGTTCTCTGAAACTGTATTCATGCATTTCACTGTGTCAGTAGTTTCTGAGGTAGCCTGCTGACTGGAGACCGGGAGCTTCCGTGTGTTTCTGGCTAGAAGGAGCATAAACCAGGGAACAAGAAATTAAATATGTTTTGTGCTATTCATTGACTAACGTCTAAAGAGTTGTAGCCCCGCTGAACATGATGGAAAAGGCTTTCCTTCCTCCTCCTTTTCTTTCAGGTGTTTTCATGTAGGAGCAATATGAATAAACACCTTTTAACACATGGAGACAAGAAATACACCTGTGAAATATGTGGACGTAAATTCTTCAGGGTGGATGTGCTGAGAGATCATATTCATGTTCATTTTAAGGTATTGTGCTAATGATTTATTAGAAAAGGCATGTTACTTAGTAAACTTTCATATACCTCTCAGTAAACCTATTGATAATGGTAAGGCCATGTATTCATACTGGCAACACAACAGTGATTATGTACTCCATGCAGTCGTGTTGCTACAGCAGCCTAACACGTTATGCTCGAATTTACCCATGGCTGTATGTTGCCACAGCTGGATTGCTACAGAGTATTTGGACTACCAGATTTAAAATTATTTCAAGTACCACTGCAGGACACTCTTCTGAAAGTAAAGTAAACACCCCCCCTTTGACCTTGGGTGAATCAGAGATGCTCAGTTTAAATCAGGGAGAGTAACTACTTGTTTCACAGGAAACCTGCAAACAGGTGTGTTGTTCTAGGTGTAGTTTAGCTGGGCTGAGAGGTCACTGCCATCCTCTTACCTTTACACACACCAAAAAAAAAAAAAACCCACACGCAAAAATTCAAAAAAACTGATTGGTCTTGCCCTTTTCCATGCCAGCGATTGTCTTTCTCTTGTATCTGCCAGCGTAACTGCTTGTGTGATCGGTCCCTAACCTGGTTTGATCAAATGGTCTGAGTTAAAAAAAAAAAAACACTATTAATAGTGCTTTAACAGACACAGATTATTTTAACACAACTAGGTTAACACGAAATTAAAAGGAATTATATCACACAGTTAAGCCCAAAAAGATGCCTCTGTGGGTGTAATACTGCACCAGTTGAGTCTCTGTTTACATTAAAGTTCGGGTTTTTTTTATAGACAAAAATTGAGTTTTATCTGCTTAAACAAGTGGTTGTTCCTTGTTTAATCTTAGAGGGACCATGGGTACCTGAATTGAATGACATAGGAGAGTATTTTAAATAGTGTTATAGTAGTTGTTAACAAAAGGCAGTCCACATGGCAAAAAAGCGGGTAAGGTGCTGCCTTTTGAAGTAGGTGTTTGATTTGTTCAGACAGAATCTTCTTTCTCATCCAAACAGGACATAGCACTAATGGATGATCACCAGAGGGAAGAGTTCATTGGTAAAATTGGAATCTCATCAGAGGAAAATGATGACAACTCTGATGAAAGTGCAGATTCTGAGCCTCACAAGTATAGCTGCAAAAGGTGCCAGGTAGCTTTAAATACTTGCAAATTAATGTGTTTTGGGATGGGGGAAGGGAGAGGAGATATCTATAAATTAATCAGAATTTTAAATGACTCTGAGGATTAGCAAAGAGAGGGCCAGTCTAAGGGTCTTCTCTCTTGTGCAGTGCATGTTAACCTCTGATCTATGGACTGATGGCATTCCATAAGACATCAGCTGATGTTCTGCAAAGTGAATGCTAAGCACTTAAACAGATAAATACATATGCATACACTTCCCTGTGCGCCAGGAAGCAAGCAACACTGTAGGAAGAAATATAAAGAAGCATTCAGCTCTCAGGCCAACTTTTAATTATGTACAGATTAAAATCATTATAGGACTTCTGAATGATATGGTTCAAGATTAGATAGTCCTCTAGCGGATATCCAGTTTGGAGGATTAAGACCGCTGCTTATGTTCAGCACAACTGCTTATTCTTGGCCTACTCTATTACTAACAGGATGGCATTAGAAGTACTACTGGAACATACTTTACTTAGTTATCAGTTGAGAGAGGTCTCTTTCAGCTTCTCATGGTGTGGCTTTTGAATGTTGCATATAAGTAATGAAGAAGAATGGAATCCTCAAGGCCCATTTAGGTTCTGTACCCTAACCAGGGCAGTGCACTGTGATGGGATGGGTAGGATCCAAAAACAATCAGTGAGAACAGCAAGACTGACCAAACTGAAGTGAGACAGGGAAATTTTGGTAGTTAAGCCACTAACTTGGCTTCTGGAAATTGAAGTCTGTTTCACAGCCTACGCTTCATGTGGTGAAGGTGCTTAGCCTGTCTTATCTCCGTGTCTTTAAAACGAAGAGAATAATACTTCAGTCTTCTGTTCTTGTCTGTTAGGTCTATTTGCAATGCAAGTTCTGAATATGTGCACATACCATATCTACTGTAAGATGAACTGGGTTGAAGTGGGGCTTATGTCAGCAAAAAGATGTGGTACCATAGCAGTTAAGCACGTGCTTGTTTTCAGTGTGGTAGTTTGAACGTCTGATACTTAATGGGAACGTGAGCTATATAAAATTACATCCTGCTAAATAGGGGGAATCGTACCATTCAAATTAGAAAGCTTTTTTTTAGAAGCTAGGTTTTTAGTGCTTTTGTGGGTGTTTGTGAAGTAAACAGTTGCACAAGGAAACAGCTGTGGAAAATGAGTGTTATTTATGATAAGATGGGGAGGCTCTTTTTGGCTGAAAATACCTGTTTGCACACTCCTAAGGAAGGACAACATATGAGTGAGTCTTGGTGAAATATCTCTTCTGAGCTTTTGAGGATCTCTCTCTCTTTATTTAGTTCTCTTCCCAAAGCACCTCTTCACCCAGCTGTGCAGTGCTATGAGAAATACCCCAACTAATTCCAAAATTGGAACAAAAGAAGATGTCATTATCACACTTTGCCCTGATACGCAGGAGCTTATATGCATGTGTAGGGTTCCTTAGTCCAGGCAGAGCAGCTTCTATCACAGCTGCAGTGCTTCCAGGACCTGAGCTGGAATCGCTGCTCTGCAGTGTGCGGAAATACCAACTCTTTTGAAACTAGTTCGAAAGCTTAATATGCAGAATAGAAATACCCTTAGAACAGTGCAAGAAGTACTTCTCTGTCCAAAAATGAGTGACCATGTTCTCCTTTTGCACTTCTACCCTCTGTCAGCAGGGAGCCAGAGAAAGCATCTCAAGCTACAGTCCCCCAAGTGAGTTAACCGATGTCCTGTAGCGATGTGATTGTGTGCTTGTAATGGCCAAACAGGTACAGGACTAAGCTTAGCTTTTGCAATACTCTTTTTATGTAGTAATGTACAGGATGTTTCTGACTACTAGCTGTGAATCTAGATCCCAGTAATGTGTAACCAAATCTTTTTTTCTTCCTAAGGACTTTCCCCCCCCCTTTCATTCACTATTGGTTCATTCCACAGTTAACTTTCGGCAGAGGTAAAGAGTATCTGAAGCACATAATGGACGTGCACAAGGAGAAAGGCTATGGCTGTAGCATTTGTAATCGACGTTTTGCCTTGAAGGCAACTTACCATGCTCACATGGTCATTCATCGGGAGAACCTGCCAGATCCTAACGTGCAAAAGTAAGACGACATGTTTGTTTGATAAGAAGAGCTATCTTTTTGAAGTCACGTTGGTTCTGCCATCTGATTTTGTTAGAGAACTGGGCTGTCCTAAAATACCTGAAACTGTCTTAATGGGTGTCAAAATGTGTATTAAAAGCTTGAAACATATATCACCTAACAATTCACTTAACATATATGATTAGTCAGAAGCTTCCCAGTTAGTAAAGTATAAATCTATATTTTAGCAAGAGGTTTTTGGTTTTTTTTAACCTATAATTTGAAGACACAGCAATGCCAGGCTGCTCCAAGCTTGCAGTGAACTTACAGATTACTTAAGGCTCATTTTTAAACTGCATTTACGTTTCAAGGAAACTTTTCTAGCAATTTGTGTTACCAAGTGAAATATAATGACTGATGGAGCTGTCTGGAAACCACCTCTGTTTCAAGAAAAAAATATCAGCTTTGTTCTCTTTGGTTTCAGATATATCCATCCATGTGAAATCTGTGGAAGAATATTTAACAGTATAGGGAATCTGGAAAGACATAAGCTTATACACACAGGTAAAAACTTTGTGTTTCTTTATTCATTATCAATATTAAAAAGAAACTGCTGCTTCCGGTGCCGTCCTTATTTTTTCGGGAAGAAATAAGTCATTTTTTACTGTAAGATACTATAAGATAATGCTATATTTATGATTTTAGGGTAGAGCAGTTTTCTCAAGCAGATAGTATTAAGGAAGATATTTAGTGGAGGCACACAGCCTAGATCACTTGTTAGCATGATGCAGGATTCACCTGCTAAAAATCCTAATTCTGTTTTCTGTTCTTCCTCAAATCCTTAACCATTCCACTTTTACACAGACTGAAAACTGCCATTGCAAAAACCTCTTTTTATTATTTTGTGCTATACAGCATTTTCTACCTTAGCCTTTATCTCTTTTTCAGATCTCACACAAAAAGCCAGCTTTTCTCCCTTTCCGTTGTCCCCTAATTCACTTAGGGCTACAGTATGTGTGAAAGAGGTAGTTGACAGTGCAGGAGAACTGTCGCCCTGTAATTTTACAGAGTTCAGTCAATTTTTGGAGGATGCACATTTTTTCGTTAGAACTCTTTGTTTATGCTGTCTTTTAAATTTTTATTTTTAAGGTGTAAAAAGTCACGCTTGTGAACAGTGTGGCAAATCATTTGCTAGAAAAGACATGTTAAAAGAACACATGCGAGTCCATGATAATATCAGAGAATACTTGTGTGCAGAATGTGGCAAAGGTATGTCTAATGTCTTGTTTTCCATTACGTGTGATACTGAATAGCAGGTGAATTTATGTGAATTAAAACTAATTCTATTCTTTGAATATCGAGAAAATCCTTAGAGTGCTATAAATACTATATTTTTGAGTGTTAGAAACTATATTAATCAGGACCCTTATGAGTATATAAACTACCTCTAATTTTGCACTGCTTAGTTCTATGCCTTTAAGACAAATCTGATTTTAATAAAATTTGGTTCTGTTCTGCTAAATTGAGGAGTTCTTGCCTGACTGAATTCTACTGCATTTGCAGCACAAAGTGAACATAAGTTAATTTCTTCCTTCTACGCTGTTTTCAGGCTGAACAAATAGAGTAAATTCCTTTTGACTTTCGATTTATTTACATTATAACTTGAATAAATCTGAACTGGTGTTTTATGGGAAGCAGTAAGCCTGACATCTCTAAGTGACGTTTTATCATTGCTTCTCCCTGCTGTTTTGCTTCCTCCCCGGTGGTTATTCAGGTGTTTTTCAGAGCTTTTGTCTGGAATTAAAATCTTAATGATAATGTGCGCTGCTGTCTACACGATTAAAACACACAATTGTGGATACCTAAAAGAGATTATCTTAGAGCTATTGGCTAACAACATGATCGTCCTGAGTTCCTCTCTGAAGGTAGGGAAGTGGACTAATTGTCATACAGTGCTTTTAGCTGTATCTTTCTGTCTCACAGGAATGAAGACAAAACATGCACTTCGGCACCACATGAAACTTCACAAAGGGATTAAGGAGTATGAATGCAAGGAATGTCACCGAAAATTTGCACAGAAAGTGAACATGCTGAAGCATTACAAAAGACACACAGGTAAGGTCTCTAAAGATGAGCAAAAGTTGCACTGAATCAGCCAAATGGTTCCTGGGAAGACTCTTAAGCCGGAGAGTACGAGGAACACTATTAAAAGAAATATGCACGTTCTGCTTTTTAGAAAGGGGGAGACATTGACCTGTCATCAGCAAAGAGCACCTTGTATGCAATTAGAGACATATTGTTTGGTTGCTTTCTTATTTTGTTTTTTTTAAGGGAGGTTGTTTTGTCTAGGATAGATCTAGAGTGTTGTTTTTCTTTTAAATTAGCCTTCAAGTTCTCATTTCCCAAAACAAAATTTCACTTCCCACATGAACTTCTGTTGGAATTCATGTTGTCTGATACGGTGGCATGGCTTAGAAGAAAAAAAAAATACTAGGTGAAGCTGGGCTTTTGCTGCTCGTTTAGCTGGGGTTTTTTAGTAATGTGAGATTTATAATTGTCCCAGGTGCCTTAGACTATTATCATTCTGATGTAAATGTACTCTTCGTACAGGAATCAAAGATTTCATGTGTGAACTCTGTGGGAAGACATTCAGTGAGAGAAACACAATGGAGACTCATAAGCTGATTCATACAGGTAAGTCCTCTGAAAAACGGTGTACAAAGACTAAAACCAACATTAAAACGTTCCTCTCGTTGAGATGCTGGCAATAAGATATTCATCTTCAGGTGCTGTTGCTAACAGCTTTTCATTCCATCTGCTACCAGTAGGAAAACAGTGGACATGTTCAGTTTGTGATAAGAAGTATGTCACTGACTACATGCTCCAGAAGCACATCCAACTCACTCATGATAAGGTGGAAGCCCAGAGCTGTCAGCTGTGTGGGACAAAGGTTTCTACCAGAGCGTCCATGAGTCGACATATGAGGCGTAAACATCCAGAGGTGAGTTAGCAGCAGGTAGATTGTGGGGCTTTTTGGTTGTCTGAGGTTTTTTTAGAAGTGCTGTGGCCTTCAGTGACTTGAAGGGAATTACTTTTTTTTTTTTCTGTTCTTTTAGGGCTAATTTTGGCCAAGGATAGACCATTCCCTGTTTAGATGGTGTCTGTTAAACATGCACTTAACCAAATCAGAACTTTTGTTGTGTTAAATTTAGGTAGTAAACATTGTCAGTTCCTAAAAATGAAGTTGTTCTGATTATGTAAGTCCCTCCCACTTTTTTTTTTTTTTTACCTAAATGAATATTTTTTTCCTTTTTTGTCTTCAGCCATTGGTGAGCATAATTGATTCTTTTATTCTCATAGTATTATTTGTATTCAGAAATGATCTGAAAGAAGTGGTGAATAGGGAGGTGCTGATAGCATCTGCTGATGATACAAAATTATTCCGAGTATTAAAGAGGAATGCTGACTGAAGAATCTGGGCTAGAGGAATATACGGTCTGACCCCAGTGGGGCTGTTTCTGTGTTCTAAATTTCTCAATAGCTATTGTGTTTTCTCTCGGCGTTTCTTGTTTAAGTTGGCTAAGGCCTGTCCTTTTCTTCAAGGCTTTATTTTACCACCGATTTATCATCGGTATTGCTTTGCCTTGAACTATCTGAAGTTTTTATATCATGACTGGGAAAGGAAGTCAGCCAAAAGCTTTGTTTATTGACTTTTGCATTAAGAATGCAGCTAAATCCCTGCCACTTAGAGAGCAATTTGTTTCTGTTCTTTGATAAGTGGAGATGTATAGATTTTATAGAGTCTACTGTAAATAATTGAGTAGGACATAGCTGATAGGTTTATGAACAGAAATGCTAAAATAATATTTTTTTGTCAAATACATGGTTTTATGTAGAATTCTTCACTTCTCAGGGGGTTGTTTTCTGTCTAGAGTATGAAAGTTGTCTTTTAGTGTTGTCTTTAAACTTTGTTGCTGGTTTACAGTGAGAAAGGAAAAGATTATATGCCAAAAGATTATATGCCAAAATTTATTATTGGAATTTAAAAATTATTAGTAGTAATTAATTAAAATTACTGTTTATTTGGAAAAAATGCTGTGGTTAAATTCATTATATTGATGATATGTGTAAAATGTTAGACTACATCATTTTTGCTTTGGAGTAGGATGTATTAGGGCAATGCTATACTGTTTGTCTGTGGTCTGCACTGCTGCATTTTACCAGGCTGATACCTGCTTGTCCTTAGGTTCTTTCAGTGAGGATTGATGATTTAGAGCAGCTGCCGGAAACTACCACCATTGATGCCTCCTCGATTGGGATCGTTCAGGTAAACTCACCACTGCAGAATTCTGATGGGAACTAGGTCCCAGGCCCTGGGACTACTGGGGAGCGAGGCGGGCAATGTTACTTTCTCGTTACGTATCGTAATTGGACATAGGCTGATTGGCAAGGAATGTGCATCTCACCTTAGAGAGTCAGCCCAGCCTAACCGGACATATGCCATCTTTTAAACAGTATAAGCAGATACAAGTTGTTGATCTGTTTTGTTGTGTAGCATACATGCTGATAAAATGGAGGGAATTACAGGGCAAGTGCTTGTTCCTTCACATCTGTTTCTTGCTGATGTTTATCTCTTCACTTGAGAATCAAGAGTAAACCGACTTCAGTTGATAGTGTCTTTTCTCAGAACTTCACTGAGCAAAATGACTTGAGGTTTTCTTTTGAAACGTTTCCCTCCAGCCGGAATTAGCCTTGGAACAGGGAGAGTTACCAGAAGGTAAGCAGCATATGAAAGCTCCTAAACGTGGCCAGAAACGAAAGCAAAAGCCGGGTGAGGAGGAGGAAGCTCAAGTGCCTGAGGACCCTGCCTTCAGTGAATACACAGAGAAGGAAGCTGAATTCACAGGAAACGTTGGAGATGAGACTAATTCAGCAGTACAGAGCATTCAACAGGTGAGCTCCAGTAGAAAGGTGATGGGGCAGAAGGCATTTCTTAAAGGGATGATACTTCTGTTTTACAAATGGCAAACACAAAAGAATGATAGGAGGACTGAAGGTTAGTGTGATAAGTCATGGTAATACAAAGATAAAAAGGCACTTAAAAAGAAAAGAACAAGGCGTCAGGTCAGTCCAAATAAATTCCTCAAACTTGTTTTTAGTTCCTTTGGTGTTACCATCTCTTTATTTACCAGATACCTGGCTGAAGCTGTGATTACAAGTGTGAAAGTTAATTCAGCTGATTGTTTTGAACGTTACGCATGCCTCTCTCCTATTACCTTCTTAGTTTTATGTTTGGAAGTCGTTATAGTCCAAGTTTTCTATGTTCCTCTCCATCTGCCTGATTTCTTTCACTGGCAGTAGCAACATCTGAGCTCATCAGCATTCAGCTGATTCATCTTGATGCTAGTTATTTGGTAGACAGCTGCAAGATACAAGGCTGAGGTTACCTTTTTGTTTTTTTCCTCAGGTGGTGGTGACCCTCGGCGATCCAAACGTCACAGCCCCTTCCAGTTCTGTTGGGCTGACAAATATCACTGTTACCCCCATTACTACGGCAGCTGGAACTCAATTCACAAACCTGCAGCCTGTGGCTGTGGGCCACCTGACTGCACCTGAACGCCAGTTACAGCTGGACAACTCAATTCTCACTGTGACGTTTGACACGGTCAGTGGTTCTGCCATGTTGCACAACCGCCAAAATGACATTCAGATCCAGCCACAGCCAGAGGCAGCCAATCCTCAATCTGTGGCCCATTTTATAAACCTGACCACCTTGGTGAACTCCATTGCTCCTCTAGGGAACCAGATAACAGAACAGCATCCTCTGACATGGAGGGCAGTGCCTCAAACTGATGTCTTGCAGCCCCAGGCGCAGCCAACGCAACAGCAGTCAGGACAGCAACAAGTTCAAACAGAGCAACAACAGATGTATAGCTACTAATTTATACTTGAAAAAGTTTTGAAATGAACAGTATTTAGAGACAAAAACACACAAACATTTCGAAAATTTCTAATAGGATTGTTTGCTGGATACCAAACAGAGATGAGAAAATGTTTATACAATGAAATGTAAGCTACAATTGGCATAGCACCCTGCAACACCCTAATCTTGAGATTCTTACATTATCTCTAGACTTTGCACTGTCTTTAAAGGGAAAAAAAAGGAAAAAATCTTACCCTAAATTTAGCACCCCTTTGCACTGTGTATTTTGTGCAGTAAAATTGAGATATGACAGGAGCGTCACAAAACATCTTAACCAAAGCAGGGAAACCCTAAATAATATGGCAGTGGTGATTTACAAAACCCTTTCAGCCGTAACATGTCACTTCTTTCCGGTCTGGAAATTAAATATGGAGACCTTGTTCACAGTGAGCTGGAATGCACTCGTGGTCACCTTGTAGAGACTGAAATGTAAAGACACAAACGGGGAAAACGATAATTGTCTTGGTTTTTTCTTCTTTAGGTCTTGTATCTAACAACCTTGGTAAAGTAGGTGGAGGTTGGGAGTTTGGGGTGGGGTTGAGTGTGGTGTGGAAGAAAATGTACCCAGTTTCACAAAGTATTGCGATTTTTGTGATGGGAAAAACCCTGTACCCATAACACAGTGTTAGTACTACTTGAATAAGATAGCGGGTCTAATGCTAAAGCAACTTTAATGGTCTTCTAGTCAAGTTTGATTCAGAACAGTTATAAAGTGGAACTAGAATGTGATACAATTTTATGTAATTTTTCAAAACTGCTCTTTCAATATTGCTTTTAGCTAATAGGCCTGAAGCTATCAGTCCCTTTTGATCAAGTTCAGGATGTGAATTTTTATCAATTAGTCTTTCATTGTGTAATAAACATTTGAGAAAGCATTTTTATATATACATATATAGCCTTTGTATGTTACTGTGTGTTCCTGGTGAATATTTTTGTGAAGAACACTTTTACCATTTTGATTCATTAATTTTTTCATCTCCATACTGCTCTTTCTTGTAGAAATAGTGTGTGGCTTCTGCTCCTTCTATTTCTAAAACTCATAGCCACACACAGACTGTGTGAAATGCAAGTCAGAGAAAAGAATGTCTGAGGCATATGCTGCCACATGGAGGCAGTATGCATTAGTGCATAATGGACAAGGTCTGCAAGAATGTTGGGAATATAAATAATGGGTCTGGCAAAATACATTAATGCTGATAGTAGACTTTCATTCCATTCTCCATGTATTGATGTGCAGTCTGGACTCTTGCATGTCAGGAAGACAGCATCCTTCCCACAAAGAAAAAGTACCTGATATCAAAAAGGAGCAAACTAAAAAAAAATTTGCTGCCTGGAATTCTGAAAGGCAAATCTGCCTTACCAGCAGTGGCTGCAGAACAAGTTCCTTTGGGGCAGCAAGCAGAGCCACAGAACCAAGCTAAAGATCTTCCCTGAGGATGAAGCAGCTGCGGTGTTTGACAGTGAAGGTAGAAGGATGGTTGTGAAAATCCTTTCTGTGCCTTTCATATTAATGAAGACGTTCTATTTATTAGCAGAAATATGATTAGGAATGCGTTCAGGTTTGAAAGTCTGTGTTAACATCGTCTACTTGACCCCTAAAGGATGTCTCATAACCTCTACAACAAATCCTTCTAAAGTATAAAAGTTTAGTAGTTAAATGTTATGCTTCTGTGGTTTAGTTGGTGCCACACCAGTGCCCAGGGGTCCACTGTGTTAGGCTCTTTGTAAAGCCTAATTGCAAAAGGACATATACAGGAAAGGGGTTTCCAGTGATAGATTTTGTTTCAGAGGAGCAGAACGACTTTTCTATAAACGTCAGCAACTCCACCAGATGGCAGGACCTATATATGAATGGGACAAGGACACATATCAGAACGAGAAAACATCACTTATCAGTGTGGAAAAAGAAAGAACTCTCTTATTCCCTAACCCCTTCTGACTTCCCCAGATTCTTTTCACACATTAGCATGAAAGCCTGTTTTTTTTTTTTTTTTTAGCCTCCTCATATCCTGAGAAGTAGAGCTTTATGCCCCTCTGTGACATAGATTATTTCACCATTGGTTCAGGCCAAATAAGTTTCTCCTCGACTATATGTCCAAGTGCTTTCCCTTCAGGGCAAACGCACTGGTCAAGAGGAAGTTAAATTTTATTTATGAAATACGTTGTTTATGTACTTAAAACTTTTGTCACTGCACTCTGCCTAGATGGTAAAGGTGCATGTTGTCTTTTGGCAGGGTGATTTTGAGGAAGAAAAAAAAAAAAAAAGGCAAATGTAGAGGTCCTAGATCAAGCTATTGTGGTCAATAACAGTTAACATCTAAAGACTATATATATTTATATACATACAGGGTTATAGTGCTGTAGGACTTTCTAGAAGTTCAGTTTCTTGTTCAGACACATATGTAAATGGTGATTAAAATCTAAGCTTTTTAAGTGGGGAGGAAGAGATTTTTTGCCTTAGCTGCAGTGAGTGCGTTTGCTCTACGTTAATACCACTGATGATCTTAATAGCATTCATGATATGTTGAATCAAGCTGAGTCATTTTAACATGTAATTGCAGGAGTAGTTGATAATGCATATGCCAGTAATCACTCATCATAGAGACTGCTCCAACCGTACAAAACCTCTATTCTAACATGTGATCCTTTGGTTTCTGTACTCTTTTGGACAGCTAGCATCCCTCCAGCTCTTACTGGCCTGCATAATCTCATCCGGGCTAGTTAGCATCTTGCTATTCTGATAATGATTGATTATAACTGATTAAATCAGGAATGATCAGAAAACAAATGCTTGCATGTTGGTGACCCCGTACAAAAGAAATGCCTCTATTCAGTCTTTCGGTATTCCCAAAATCTTAAATGATATTCTGCCTCATGAGGGAAAAATAATAATCATTGGAAAGGGCTATCACTAGCCCTTTAGATACGTAAGGGAAAAAAAGGAGTAAGGAAAAAAAAAACAGTAAAAAGTTCCTTTTAAAAAAGGATTTTGACTTTCCCTGCGTTATAGTATCTCATCATCTCTCAGCCTGATTTTACTATTACTACAGTTACGAACATCCCTAAGAGACAAAACTGCATCCTGAGTGTGCTGCAACATGCAAAATTTCAGAACAAATCATGTTTGTGGAGAAGTTGGAAATGGATTTCTCTTCGGACGAACCTTACTTTGGATGACTACTGAATGCCAGCCATGCTCCCAACTAAGCCTTTTTCAGATGAATACCAAAGTTATACTGATGCTGTTTCAAACTGCACAACAAATAAAAATATGTAAGGGATGTGCAATCCAAGTTTCCTTTGCCAGTTTTGTTACTAGCCTTCTCAGCTGTAGGATATGAAGATTACTGTTTTCAACCATGTGTTCAGGATTTTGCATTACAACTGTTGAGTAACAAACTGTGGCATTATTTTGAGCCAAAGGAGTGATGTTGTGTGATGATCCATGTATTGTCATTGTTTACTGCTAAGACTATTATTTAATTGAATGCTGTCTGTGGCACATGGGCTCTAAAGTAAAGGAGCGACAAGGTACAGAACCCTTTCTCTACTAGCGTTATTCTTTTCTAGTCCTGAATTGCTGCGTTAGAAGTTTTTTTTTCTTTCAAGTTACATAGACTCGCTTTAAAAGCAATAAGCTTACTAGTTATCTCATAGGATTTTGCATCCCACAATAAACAGAAACATGGGACAGCATTCTAAAATATGTGTTAAATAGGTTGTTAATGTACACTAACAGAAAGTAGAGGAGATTAAATCTTCCTTGGCTATGGTGAGTTCTCAGGAAAACCTACTGTGTCAAGTGCCATTATACTCTTAAACTTTAGAGATGCCTCAGTACAGAAAGTGTATATTTTGGCAGCAACTTACCAATCAGTTTTCTCTCAGTCTAAACAACAAAGTTTCTCTACCTTTTTATTGATCCAGAAATTGTTCGAAGTTAACAGCTAGGTAATAATTGAGTTTATTTCTAGGACTGAATTTCTTGTCAGTTTGTCAGGATGATTTACTGGTGTTCTCTGCACATAAAGATGCCAGAATTTCTTATTTGGAAAATGAGGAGTGGAAAAATACTATACATCCAAAAGACGATCATATAAAACCTATAGGTACTACCTGAAGTGTATAGGGTAAATAGCTTTGTTAGTATTGTTTTATGAATTCTTATTCAGTAATATTTCCTTTTAATTCAGTAATATTTCCTTGGTGCTGTTTACAATAATAATGTCACTCCTTGTATTTCCTTTTGGCCTTACATTTATTATGGATGTAGCCATAACTGCTGGAAAATCCTTAACCCTTTATATTTTTTGTCATGCCCTTTCATGGTGGTTGTCAGGGTGTTGGCCTAATCTGCTGTGAAGGGAGAAGGAAACATAAGGGAGGAAACGTACTGCTGATCTGCACCACTGGATTCACAGCAAAGCTCTAAGTATTTTGCGGACAGAGCCTGTACACCCAAGCAACTTGTCTCTGTGAGATTAGTTACCAAGGTTTGTATTCATACAAGGGCTTTTGCTGTATAGCAAATCCAGAGTGTCATCTTGACAAATGGAGAAAAAAAAAAAAGTGTTTCCATCATGTTTATCATCAACATGTGTTCAGAGTTATTTTCTTCAACACCGAGATGCCACTATCACGTTTGCAATGCATATGGCCAAAACTCTTTAAGTGTTTTTGATTTAAAATGTTGGAACTCTGTAGAGCCACATGTACTTCACCCTATGGTGTAACCATGGTTTGAAAATATGTTTCTTGCCCCAAATACTTTGAGAAAACTCTTCCGGATTCTTTTGTCCTCCCTCCTGAGTGCAAAAGTGCTATTCTGCATGTGCACTAGTTCAGCTACAAAATGCACAATTCAGTTCAAACTGGAATTGAGCATACAGATAACCTTAATACAGCCTAATGATGATTAGCACTTTAGATCATTGTTCTAAAGAGTCCAAGCTCACTGTTGCTAAACTTAAATTCCTAACAGCTAAGGTGAAAGGGATAGAAAATGTATCCTTTGGGTATGGCGGGAAAGTTGAGAACTGTCTGAGAGACTTCAGTCTACCTCCTAGGGCCAGGATTTCCTTAACATTTGTAGGGTAATGCTACTGTCGATCTTATCTGTGAGCTGTTCTGAGCAGTTAGAGTGTCTTGATTAATCACCAAAACTTTTGAAAAGCTGATTATTTTACAGTTGTAATGGCTGTACAGCAGCTGGTGTCAAAAGCAATTAAAAATACTGAGTTTTTGAATCTAGTGTATCTAAAGCAAAGTCTTTCATTTCTAATGTCTTCGTTGCTGTTAGTTGAGCACTTTCCTGTATTTTTCTATGTGTGCCTAGATTTTGATTCTAAAAACATTTAAGGTGTTTGGTAAAGGTAGCAAAATTTAAATGGCTACAAAAAAAGTGCCGCAATGGCAAAATTAGGAGTTAAAATTAGCAGAACTAACAATGCTAATTTTCTACGGATTTCCACCCTTCTACCCACACAAGTCTAAGGTTCTGGCCATGACGCTAAGGCAAGGAAAGAGACAGCACATGCTCCGGCTAGTTTGCAGCTACTTGTGTATGGATTGATGAGTGGGGTGTTGCTAATGAGATCAGATACTCGCTGAGTTCTGCCAGGCTTCCCCGCAAGCCATGTACTTATGTTAGTATCTCTTCCTTACACATTTTAGTATCTCTTCCCTACACAGCTGGATATTTTCACAGAACTTAATAGGAACATGAGTATCTCTGAGACTCGTACGTCTCACATTTAGTGAACTCTAGAAAGCAGATTCAGAACTGAGGAGAAAGAGGGACCTGAGGGCTGACAGTCAATAATACACCAGAGATACAGCTAAAAAAACCCCAAAGCACAGAGAGAACGTATGCTTAGCCTGCTGCACAGAACTATATGGTAAGTTGCGGTGTTAACTAAGTATTAATGATTTATTATGTTCAGATGCCTTTTTTTTTTCCTAGTAGAACCTATATTCTGCTACTTGTATAGGGGAAAGTGTTAGTGTGCGTTTAGTTTACCATAGATTAAATTCAAAGGTAAAACATGCTTAGTGTGTTATATGCAGCAACATGCAGAAACCAAAGCTTAAGATGCTCATACGATAAGGGAATGAAGCAGATCCACATTTCATCCCTTTTTGGAAAGGGCTAAAGCAAGCTTATGGGCAGCATTTTCTCAAGGGGTGAATGCCCCTTTCCACCTGCAGAATAGACCATGCTATTGTGCGCACACTAGCTCTGCAAGTCTGACACAGGAGTGTCACTGAAGGGAGGGACTAGAATAATGGGGGGCTCAAAGTAAAACAAAAAATAAAATCAATCCAGCTCATTCCAAGGAAAGGATGGGCAAGTTCTAACCCTGGTTCCTTTCTGTGGCAAGGAGAAGGAGATAGGAATTGCTCTCAATCTGTTACGCAGGCTGCGTTGTGGGTTGTTTCAAAAAGAAATCAACTACATGTGTGAGCTCCTCTTCCCTTCTTTCCACGCCCATGCCTATGTGAGACCCTAGTCAGAGCTTTCCAAGGAATAAATGCCTGTGTCTGACTGATGTACCAATAGCATTTGTGCCCAAGGGCCCTAGTTATCATGCAGGTTTCAGCATTATTTTTCAAAGTAAATACGGGTACAGGAGTTGGGGGTGTTTAGACACAAGTGGGGTTTGGGGCGGAGGGGGTAAAGATTAGCTCTTTCTTGCCCTCCTGTGAAGTCCATTCTGAGGCAAACAAGATTTTTTGCAGAAAAGCCAGTGGAATCAGTGACAAAGCACAGCGTATAAAGATGCAAAAGAGAAGAGCTTAGATTGCATAATCAAAGAGAAAAATGAGAAACTTTGTCCTGAAGGCAAATGCATCTACTTCTCATTCACTCTCCTCCCTTTTCCACTACTTTTTTTTGTTTTTTTCCCATGACATACATGCAAATCCCAACATGTACTAAATTTTCCTCCAGGCATAATATACTTGTGTGGTTATTTAAGTAAGAAGTGGGTTGAACGGAGATAGGAGGCGCTCCCTCGTGGAAAAGTCTTGGAGAAAAATGCTCTATTCACTGCTTTTCCTTCAAAGTAATCCAGTCACCCTTGAGAGCTCTGGTTAGTAAAGGGATAGATGTTGCTCTAATTATACAGCATACACGTTTCCTTCTGAATTAAGTCTGTCTTTTCTCAGCGTAGCCAGTATTTCTGAGCCTGCCCGCTGAAAAAAAGGCCGTAGACTCTTAAGTCTGAGCATTTCAATCAAAGTGAAGGGTGGTTTAAAGGGTAATTCAAGTAGAGTAAAAACTTGCCAGAATCAATTAACGCTTGCAAGAAATCACAAATTCTGGTTGCACAGGACACTTACAAAACTGTCAGAGCCTACCGAAGCAGTTGCTGATCACCTGTGTGGTCTCCTAGACTTGGCTAGAAAAACCCTTTCATCTCGCAGCTGTATGCGTTGCCACTTAATACACTTTTTCCTTTAAAGGCGCTCGTGTTTGGCACGAAGGATGCTGACATGTATGTTTTGTTTTTTTTTTTTTTTTAATGAGGAAACCCAAAGGTCTAAACGAGCAGCGCTACAAACGGAGGCCCACCAGCGCTAGAGGCGGCCAGCGGTGAGGGGGACCGGCCAGTGACGCTGCTCAGCAGACAGGGGAAGACATTTTAACCGCCCGGGCGGGGAGCCGCTGAGGCAGTGCCCGGAGGTGGGAGAGGCTGTTAGGCGCTGAGGGAGGGCCCAGAGACAACAGGGGTAGGGCCGGTACTGCGGTTCGTTGTCCTTAACGGGGGGCAGGAATCCAAGCACGGTTTGACCTCTGGGTTGTTTTCTCCCTGCACATGCTTCTTAGGACATTGAGGATACCGGCATAGGTCAATTAGAATAATTATAACTTGAAAAAAATTTTTTTTTCCAGTAATAATTACACAGTATTTTGGGATAACTTTAATAAACTACTTGGCAATGAATTATTTCACACGTGGCATAACTGGTACTCTTCTTACTTTGCAGCATGCCTTTAGGGATGCCTGCCTTTCCTGCTCCAGGTCAATAAAACAGGGACTTGGTGAAATAAAGCTCTATTTAGTTATAGCAGCTTAGACTGAAGTGTTACAATGTGAGGAAGGTACCACTTGCAATATGAGATGACCAGTTCTTTTAGAAGCTTTCTGGTAATTAACGTGTTTGGTGGGGGAATACTTCCTGGTCAGTATTTTTGCTAAGTGCAAAAGTACTGCTGATTATGTTAACAGAGTCTGCTTAACACCATTTGAGTTACATGCTTCCCGGTTTGCATGCTATTTTTGTAACCGGTATTATGTCAGTGCCTGACTTTTGTAATTAATAGAATCAGTAAGAGCACTGGTGAACACACATGCTTTTATACTGATGTTTTAGGCTATTGAACAGAGTTTGTCTTCCAGATCTCTATGTGTTGATGAGAAAAAGAAGAACTTCGTCCCAGTTGCTTGTTACCCTCCTCCTTCCAAAGTCTGCTGCTGACAGAGATCCATCAGCTGATCCACTTGGAGATTGCTTAAACTTTTAAAATTGTTGTAGA